GGATTATTTTACAGCTTCAGACCGGCAAGCAGCCGCGCATCGCCTGGCAAACCTGACCAAATGGTTCCTATAAACTCGGTTTACGATCGAGACAGTGCAATTATTGGTATTTTTCGAAATTTTCCAATTTGAAACAATGCGCAATCGGGAATCATTCTTTTCCAAACGGGCACGTAATTGGAACATAAAAGCGGCCATCTCGGAAATCGTAAACATCCACTCAGCGACCAAAAGCAGCTTTATTTGTTGGGCCCTGCTGGTCCATGCTCGAAAGGAACCACTTAAATTTTATGGTTACCAATTTCGGAGATATGTTCATTCATTCATAATGCCCCATTCAAATGACAAAAACATAAATATGTCTTTTGCTCATTTGTTCAGCAGGTTGATTGTGTCTAATGGTTGGTCGTGGTGGTGATTTGCTCGTTTTTTTAGTAATTATCTTTTGGTGGTTACAACAATTACAACCAAAGACCCGCACTGAATCTAAAAGCTGTTCCGGTTCCGTTCTTTTTTGGTGAGTGTCGGTTCCAAAAACTATACACGATGATTTAGACCGTGCACTAGAAGTTTTCCAACTTAAAGTTGTTCAGTAAGAAGAAACTGAACTAAACAAGGCCAAGAAAGTGAACTTTTTATCAAAAGAGATGGACTTTCGAGGCCAGTCCTTGAAACTAATGGGTTTTTTGAGTGTTTAGGCCGTCGTTCAGTAGAATTTCTTCCTGACGTTTCGCAAGCACGAGTGGCTTGTATCTTCAGGAATACATTCTCCTCGTTTGTTAGAATTTCTTTCTGGCGTTTCGCAAGCACGAGTGGCTTGCATCTTCAGAAGTGGTTTGCTTGAACGCTTACACTGTTCTCATCAGAACCCGATCAGTTCTGCGGAAGAACTGTACGCGGGTTCTGATGAGAACAGTGTAAGCGTTCAAGCAAACCACTTCTGAAGATGCAAGCCACTCGTGCTTGCGAAACGTCAGGAAGAAATTCTGCTGAACGACGGCCTAAAAACCCGAAAAACCCATTAGTTTCAAAGTGAGCTTTTAATAACGAAAACCATCTTTGAATCTAAAATTGGCTTTCCTTTTTTGCTATCGAGGGAGAAATTTACTAGAAATCCTCGGAAACCCAAGTGTTAATTTCTTTCAAACAGTACCAGCTGAACCCAAAAAAAAAACCGAAATCCAATTCAGCCCTTAACAGCGTGTTAATGGAAAATATGTGATCAGTTTCGGTTCCGGTCTATTTTGCATAGTATTCTTTCGAGTCAAATAGCAATTAATACCTGTTGTAGTGCCAATGACAAATGTTAAAAAACACCATTTTCGTATTTTAGGCGAATTCAAGTTCCCTGTAAATTTAATTTCAAAGACGCGCGCTGTTAAGCCATAAATCGAAACCTTATTGAGTCTTATCAGATCGGTTTCTAGTGGTCACAAACCGAAAATTGCTGTTTTGGCAGCTTTTTAGCTGAACTGAAATGCCGCCCTTGACTCAACTCAATGGTTTGGTACAAGATTCTGTCTCGAAATCACTATAACTCATTCCGTAGATGGCAGTTGATTTGAATTTAAATTGAAAAGCGGTTTTTTGCCGGTGACCGCGCTCAGATGTCCGCACAGATAACGATTGTCATTTTTCCTTGATTGTACCCAAAAATAGATATTAAAAATTAATGGAAACCCTTTAATTAAGTCTAATAAGTTCCAAGCCCCAAAAACACATTAGTTCTATTAGAAGGAAGTCTTGAAAATATAAACAAGGAAGATTGATGCGCATGTTTGTAGACCGTGGTGGGTTCCTGGTGAGTCGCCCGCAGTGAAAAATCGTAAACTAGAAGTAGGCCTGCAGCTGAAGATTTATACCTACTGGTTGTCTTTCGATGGTCATACTTCCAACCCTTTTGGGCGTTGAATTATGATGGGAGTTGATGAAATCGCCGTTCAAACTTGATGTTAGTCATTTGATTGAAACTTTTTAAATGTTTGAGCTTCTTCTTGTGAGAAACGTGATGAAATCTCTGTCCAAATGTGTTTCTATTTATTCAAAGGCTTGCAAAGCTGCGTAGAACCAGACAAAGAAGTGACAATGACATCTAATCAAAATAAGTGTCAAATTTTTCTAGTCAAAGTGTGGTTAAACTGTAGGTGCTAGTGGGCAACGACAGGCACACACTTTGACAACACTTGGCAAAGAGTCATCGTTCGCAGCGTCAGCAGTGTTTTTTTAAGTAAAATATTTTTTTAGGAAAAAATTAATGACCTTAAAAATATTTTCTTTTATATTTTTTAATTGTATATACTTTCCTGACTGTGTTTCAATTCCAAATCAAATTTATTCCTGGGTTTCAGTCATTTATTGTATCTATTTATTAATCAAAATACGTTTCGGTGTATTTTTCCACCATCATCAGTTTTTATGTGTAGCGTTGTTGCTGCTTTAAGCCTTGGCATGCAT